ATATTATTGAATGATTAAATTATATGATATTTTAAATACATGCCAATAAAACTATTTTTTTTAAAGGAACAGAACTGTATCCCATTGGAGTTTTCAGTGGAATATATTACCAGGTCTTTCTTTTTAGACACATCTGGGTGGACTTGAACCCCCAGCCTTTCTGTTAACACCCGAGTGTCTTAATGGCTTCAAAAAGTTCTTGGAGAAACGGATTCTAAAGGTATTGTAATTTTCCCAAATACCATGCTCTAAGGCAGGCGTCCTCACACTAAGGCCCGCCGGGTGTTTTTGCCCCGTTTGTTTTTTTACTTCAAAATAAGATATGTGCAGTGTGCATAGGAATTTGTTCATAGTTTTTTTTAAAACTATAGTCTGGCCCTCCAACGGGTCTGAAGGACAGTGAACTGACCCCCTGGTTAAAAAGTTTGAGGACCCCTGCACTAAGGTATGACCTTTTACATTTTATTTTGGACTATTTTCTGTCAGAGGACTTAAATAGATCATTTAAGCCTAGTAAATGGATTCTTAATATTAAGAGACCAAGTATACACGGTAGTCTACTTGTTAAAGCAAAAGTTTCATCAAAAGGCTTCTGACCCTGGCCTGTGTAGCACACTGCCTCGCTTATAATAGGTAATTAAAATGTAGTTAACTAGCTGATTTTCTTATCCCAACTTTTTCCATACAAATGAATTCTAAACTCAGCTATATGTGAGCATGACTTGCTAAATTGGTGCTATGATCAAAAATGAAGCTCTTTTGAATTAGTAGTGTAATTGTGATTACTGGTGATAACTGAATAGCCAGTTCATTTGTAAATTAGGGTAACAATACTTACTTTCTAAGATTGTCAGATTGGAAGATAAACTAGCCTGTTGGCTAGTCACCAAGACAACTATATAGAAAAGATGACTATTATTATTTTTAGTGTAGCATTGAATTAGATTTTTCATTTGGTTCAGATGCACTGTATATCACTTGTTTATGCCTGAAATGTGAAAAATCTCAGAAGAAAGTATATTCAGGAATTTTTAATATTTGAACTTTTAAAAAGAACCATTTACAAGGTACAAAAATAATAGTTCTAACAGCTTACTCTGTGCCAAGCAGCTCTAAACATTTTGTGTTGACTCATTTTATCTTCAGCAGTCTATTGCAGTGGGCATTAATGTCCCATTTTACAGTTATGAAATGGATAGAGAGGTTGAGGACCTGGCCCAAGATCTTACAGTCAGTAAATGGCATAGTCAGGTTTGAGCCCAAACAATGTGTGCCAGAATCAGTGCTTCACTACTACACTACATGTTGTTAGATTCAGGAATCCTGTTTTTCACATTTTTGCCTTTTCGTGTATATATTTTAAAACTCCTTCCCCATTTTCCAATATTGCTTGCAAAGTTTTTTTCTCTTTCACATTTGGAATTTAGTTGTCTGTCTGAAATAGAGATCCAATTTTACCTATGAATAACCTAATATGTCAATAAAGTCTATTGATTAGAGAGCCACATCTTAGTGGGTATATGACTAGCTTAGACCAAACTTCTTTCACCCACTACCCCCTTTTCAGAAGGAAAAAACAAACAAACAAACAAACTCCCTGCCATTGAGTTGATGCCAACTCATAGTGACCCTTATAGGACAGAGTCCCTGAGTTTCCAAGCTATAACTGTTTATAGGAGTGGAAAGCCCTGTCATTCTCCTTCAGAGGTACTGGTGATATTGAACTGTGGACCTTGCAGATCTCAGCCCAAGGCATAACCACTACCACCAGGGCTCCTTGATAGCCCATAATCCAGTTTAAAGTATAGGTATCTGCTTTTGCATTCCCATCCCCATCTCCCCCTCCCTCCCCCAGATTGTTCAAGTGCCCTTCAGGAGGTAGCATCACCCCCTTTGGGAAACACTGACTTAGACAAACTCTTCTTGCCCTAAGAATTCATGTTTGGAATGTAGCGAGACCTGCCCTCTCTTCTTTGAACTTTCTTCCCCTTTCTTTCCTCTCTTCTCCCCTCCATTGTAAGGATAATGCCATACAAAATTGGGAGGAGTTACTGAGTAATACAGTGACTCAGAGTTTCTGGTGTTAAGCTACCTTCCTGTGGAAGTTCTGGGATAATTTCTTGGGAGGCCCAGAACAGTGAATTCTGTCAGCTATACTCTTAAAGGCGTGTTATAAACTCTGAAAAACCTTGGAAAGATAAAAGTAAGATTAAAGACACTCTAGTTGATATTTTGTAAATAATTACATTGAGAGTTTGGGCGTTTGGGTTTTGTTTTTTCGTTTTTAGAAATATAATCAAACCTAAATTCTAGTCCCTAAGTCAGTCTTTTTACTAGTATGATCAATGCTGATGCTTCTCCACTATCAGTCATAGTTAATTTGTTAAATTTCAATATCTAATCACTTCTTTAGATTGTATGTAAATTGATATTCAAATTAAGTATCACAAACTTGAGAAAGAACTAGAGCATGTATAAGTTTATAATCTTGAATCTAGTGGTGTTCATCATATTTGCTTTCTTTTTATACTGAATTAGATTCAGAGTAATTAAACATAAGTACATAATTAGAATCATATACCAACTACTGGGTTTGTTTTGGAGAATAATACCAAGCACCTTAAACAATCCTAATTCCTTTTGTGTCTGAGCTTGGCACTGGGCTTGGGGGTGAAGCAAAGCAAAGACTTTGCTGTTAAACAGAGTTGGATTTGAATCCCAGTTCTACCTCTTAACTTAGTATTATGAATTGGGGCAAATTGCTTAACCCTATTTCCTCATGTGAAGAATGAATAATAAAATACGTTATCTCAGGCAAATGTGAGAACTAAAGAATAACATAAATCAGAATCGATTTGCTGGCAGTGAATTTGGTTGTAAGTGCCTAGCACCAGGTAGATTCTCAAATATGTCCTCCCACACACTGCTGTTCCCTGCCCATTCCCCCAGGAGCAAAACAAAACAAAATGGAGAGGTGGGAGAACAAAGCAGTTTGGGATCTCAGGTTCTACAGTGGGTAATTTATTAAGAATTTATCTTTTGATTTTATCTAAATTTACAATTTTTTCATTTGTTATTCCAGGAAGAGCATTCTATTATTTTCTGTTACTGCTCAACAGAGTAACCTCTAAAGCCTTTGTGCTAGGGGCCCCTCTCTAATTCACTACTACAATCCACATTTTGGCACACTATATTGAAGGTTGTTTGTTTGGTTTTTAAAGCTAAAATGCACTCTGGTAGCCAGCAGTTGTTCCTCTTCTTTATTCGTTTTTTTTTTTTAAATCATTTTATTGGGGGCTCGTACAACTCTTATCACAATCCATACATACATCCATTGTGTCAAGCACACCTGTACATTTCGTGGCCATCATCATTCTCAAAGCATGTGCTTTCTACTTGAGCCCTATTGAAGGCTTTTTGTTGGTTTGTTTCTTCCTGAAATGAAAATCCTGACCCTTTTGAGCTTCCAAATGTGAAACCAATCAAAAAAAACTTACTGTCATTGAGATGATTCTGACTCATAGCCACCCTATAACTTGACTTTTTCCAACTCCTTAAACTAATTGGTCACCCATACAATGAATGAAAGGATAGTAATTAGTGTGTGTGCTTTAGAGCCTCTTGCCAGATACAAACCTTACTAGTGTTTACTGCCCCTGAGTATTTACGTGAGCTTGCTAAGTGTATCACAGCTACTTATGATTTGGGATTATTATCTAACTCTGTAAGAGCATGCCTCTTCCATCCTTGCCATGTTCAGCAGCTGTCCCCCGCCCTCCCCAACTCCCAGCTATCAATTGTGTGTCCTTGCTAGTCTATAGAGAATGAGCCCATCAACCTTGACATGACTTGGGTTAAAAAAATACTGTGATTAAGGACCTGATGCCAGGGGCTTAGGTGGAGAACAAATGTTTTGAGAATGATGAGGGCAATGAATGGACAAATGTGCTTTACACAATTGATGTATGGATGGATTGTGATGAGTTGTATGAGCCCCTAATAAAATGATTTTTTAAATGTTTTGTTTTGTTTATCTAGCCAATAGGAGATACCTATTCTTGTCAACATTTTGTTGTCGTTAGGCTTCGACTCATAATGACCCTGCGTACAACAGAAACACTGTCTAGTCCCGTACCATCTTCACAATTGTTATGTTTGAGCCCATTGTTGCAGTAACTGTTGATCCATCTTGTTGATGGTTTCCTTGTTGTTGACCCTCTACTTTACCAAGCAAGTGTCCTTCTCTAGGGACTGGTCTCCCCGTAGTAGCATGTCCAGAGTACATGAGATGAAGTCTTGCCACCCTCACTTTTAAAGAGTGTTCTGGCTATACTTCTTCCAAAGCAGAATTCCTTTGTTCTTCTGGCAGTACAAGGCACTTTAAATATTCTTCACCATGCATCAGATATTCACATATATCCATTCTTCTGCCATCTTCCTCATTCATTGTCCAACTTTCACATGCATATGAGGTGATTGAAAATATGGCTTGAGTCAGGCACACCTTAATCTCAAGGTGACATTCTTGCTCTTTAACACTATAGACATTTTAGTATGACCATAAGCTAAGGATGGACCAAAATTAGTGTCCTTTAGATCCCAAAATGATGTTATATGGTTAAATTGAAATACACATAGTTTTACATGAATGTGCTTCTAAACAAAAGTATGTGTAAAGAATGTTTGTGAATTAATTCATGTTTTAACCCATCAGGAAAGGTTCGCTATTTAAAGAAATACTCTGGCGGACCCTCTAGTAAAAAGAATACTTGCCATGTGAATAATGTGCAATTTTTTCTATCTTTAGCTTAAAAGCAAAGTATACATGCATGAGCATAGTCTCCAAGAGGGATACAGAGTTTGTACAGAACAGGAGGAATTGTGTCAGATAGCTGTGCTAAGATCTGATTGTGTACATTTTTCAGTCCATTTTCATCCATTGATTAAGGAGAGAGGTGTTCTTGGGAGCCTTCTAATATCCACTTTTTCTTTTATGCTAGATCGAGCGGTTAGAAGTAAGCAGCCTTGCCCAAACTTCCAGTGCAGTGGCCTCTAGCACTGATGGCAGCATTCACACAGACTCTGTGGATGGAACGCCAGACCCTCAGCGCACGAAGGCTGCTATTGCCCACCTGCAGCAGAAGATACTGAAGCTCACAGAACAAATCAAGATTGCCCAAACAGCCCGGGACGACAATGTTGCTGAGTACTTAAAACTTGCCAACAGTGCAGATAAGCAGCAAGCTGCCCGCATCAAGCAGGTCTTTGAGAAGAAGAATCAGAAATCTGCCCAAACCATCCTCCAGCTACAAAAGAAACTTGAGCATTACCACCGGAAGCTCCGGGAAGTAGAGCAGAATGGGATCCCTAGGCAGCCAAAGGATGTCTTCAGGGACATGCACCAGGGTCTGAAGGATGTGGGAGCTAAAGTGACTGGCTTCAGTGAGGGTGTGGTGGACAGTGTCAAAGGTGGACTTTCCAGCTTCTCCCAGGCCACCCATTCAGCAGCAGGAGCTGTAGTCTCAAAGCCCAGAGAGATTGCCTCATTGATTCGGAACAAGTTTGGTAGTGCAGACAACATCTCTAACCTGAAGGACTCTTTGGAGGAAGGGCAAGTGGAAGATGGGGGGAAGACTTTGGGAGTGATTTCGAACTTTCAGTCAAGCCCCAAATACGGTAGTGAGGAAGATTGTTCTAGTGCCACATCAGGCTCAGTGGGAGCCAACAGCACCACTGGAGGCATTGCTGTAGGAGCATCCAGCTCCAAGACCAACACCCTAGACATGCAGAGCTCAGGATTTGATGCACTACTACATGAGATCCAGGAGATTCGGGAAACCCAAGCCAGACTAGAGGAGTCCTTTGAGACACTCAAGGAGCATTATCAGAGGGACTATTCCTTAATAATGCAGGCCTTACAAGAGGAGCGATATAGGTGAGTAATATGGATTTAAAAGCCTAAATTATTTATGTTTGGGTTTCTCAGTTTAAGAATGGGAGAGAGGAATGTCTTTTTCTGGAGAGCTCAGAGTACTTTAGATATGTCATATGAGATCTGTATTAGTTCTCATGTTGTAGGGAGTGAGGCACAGCAAATTTAAATGACTTC